CTTTTACAAAGCTCCAATCTTCTCTAGTGAGAGCGACTATTGCAGGCAACATCTTTTTATTCGGCAACCTTTCTATTTGAACTGCGTGTTAAACAACTGTGCTTTCATCGGTAACTAGAAATCAGCAGCATTTAGTAGTGCGTGTGTTTCATTTCAAGAAAACCCTGCTAGATTGATTTTTCTCAGTGGTTAAAATATAATCAAATTGAAGCTGAAAGCCTAAAGAATCGTTTGAATGCATTCAACGAAGTGTTTTCATTAGAAAATCCAGTGAAATCAGCGTTTCTATTTGGGTTGCCGAAAATAGTATGTCATGCCGAAGTCGTCATTTCCCCTATGAGTTTGGGTACTTTTTTAAATCTTGAAAACTATTAATCTGATAATATTTCAAATTTGAGATAAAAACATATATTGTCATGATAAAAACGACTCCTTTTGAACTGAAACAGTTCGTACTTCATTTAAAAACATTGGTTTTCCTTTTGACAGTTCTACAATTTGATTCAAAAGCTTCAACTTTTAAATTTAACGAAGACTTAAACTTTTGATTTGACAGTTTACACATTTTTATGATGAATGCTTCGAACTTTCTACCAAAAAGAACCAACGAAACTTTTAATTCTACCCATTCTATGTTTAATTTTTAGTAACGATTATTTTTTGTGTGTGTCGAATTTCACTTTACATACGCAAACTTAATTATAACTATTTAAATCTCAACAGTTAACCAGCGTCTGGCCGAAAATCTCCTTAATAAAGACAACAAACAAGCGACACCGGTGGTGTAGTGGTAAGCGTGATTACCTCTCACCCCAGCTGGCCTGGGTTCAATCCCAGTCGGCGCCGCCGGGATGTTCTGAGGCATAACATCTCTGATCACGCCTTCCTTCGGAAGGGAAGTAAAGCCGTTGGTCCCCGGTTCATGAGTTGATGGGTCGATAGGTAGGGTCCAGGTGTGGAAGCTACCTCCCTGGCGTCGGTAGCATTGGTGCTCAGCACGAAAACAAGATTGACGGAAAACAAATCAAGCAAAAAAAAAAGACAACAAACCTCAAACATTAAATTCAACCCCAATCTCAATATTTTCCACGCTTTTATTCGTGAAGCGCTCGTGTTTATTTACATTGCTCGTCAAACGCGGACGGTTCGATTGGAACTTTTCGCTTCAGTCTTCGCGCGTCTCTTATTTAACATCGTCTCTGGATAAAGATAGAGATAGAAATAAAAGAGGAAACAGCCAATTGTCACCTTTTACGCGGCGCCGGTGGTGTAGTGGTAAACGTGATTACCTTTCACCCCAGCTGGCCTGGGTTCAATCCCAGTCGGCGCCGCCGGGATGTTCTGAGGCATAACATCTCTGATCAAGCCGTTGGTTCTCGGTTCATGAGTTGATGAGTCGATAGGTAGGTTCCAGCCCGAGCAAAGTCGGTTAACAAAATGAAAGCAAATCGATATTAAAGTGTGCAGTTCCTATCATAATGAAAACTCATTTTGAATTTAAATGTTGCGACATAAGTCTGATATCATATTGTGCTTTCATTATGCAGTCAAGACGTTTTAAATGAAAGCAACTTAACTTGAAGTTCTGCTGTTTACGTCTTGTTTAAAATTTAATTGAAATTCATCTGTCGTTGAACTAATGATTATCGTTTATCTGATTTGTTTAACACATTTTAGGTCATTCGTGACTTGCCCGCGGTGAGATTTGAGCCTAAGTCTTTCAGCTTGAGAAACATGAATGGTAACCATTTACTCTAGGCCCGTATTCAGTTAAACATTATGAATGCAAAATCAGTAATCAAATTGATTTCATTGAAAGCAGGATTAGTTTTCCGTTTGCTTCACCAGTGTAAAATTTTGCTCTCATTTTTGCTGTGTTAACCGTTAAGTCAACCAAAATGAGATCAACTGGAGTATTCAAAATAAGTTACATCATAACAGCAAATTTTGATTTCAATTTGATGTTCAGCTTTGCTCGGGAGGTGTGGGAGCTGCCTCCCTGGCGTCGGTAGCATTGGTGCTCAGCGCGGAAAACAAATCAAAGGAAAAAAAATACATAGGGTATACGTCCCTAACCTCGGTCTAATATGCAGCCATAGATTACGTTTTTAATCATAACTCATCAATTAATTTACCTGCAAACGATATTCTACTGCTAAATGGTATGCTTAGATATGCTTATCATGTCGTTTGCTATCAGGAACCGCAAAAAGTTGAAAAACTTACTTTTTTTAAGACAAAAACTCACCAGGGAAATGTATGTAATATCGGTCTATTGTCCCCAAATTGGGTCTATTTATGGATGCAACTTCGTCCTATCCTGTTTGATTCTCAAAAAAAACGCTCTTGGTAACGTTTTCTTATGTATTTTTTTTATCACTATCACTGTTAACTTAATACTCTTCATTCCTCAAAACATTTCTTAGAGAAAATTTTACGAAAACTACATTAAATCACTCAAGTTAAAAATTAAAAATTAAAAATTTCGCTTATCGTCTTTCGACCGCAGAATATCTAAATCAAAACATTGTGATGTTCATTATACAGATTTGGCAGAAAAAATCTCCCTTCCTGTTCGTTCCTTATCATCCAAATGCAAACCACATTGTTGACGTTACTCTTATTGCTATATGCTGTCAAATGAATTTCATGGGCCAAAGTTAGGAACATAGAAAAGAAATGTGTCCCTAAAGTTGGGTCCATGATTTACTTGTGAAAACGTTGTTAAACAATTAAAATAAACATAAAATATTCAAACAGTAACTGTGAGTTTTACGTCTAGTGTGTATTATCAGGTAATTCCATTCAATAAATGCCATAATCAGGCCATTTGATGATCGTCAGTGCAACCTTCCCATCTTAACCTTAGAAGTCATGGCGGCTAAAAACTCCGAACAGAGTGATATTCTCAACCAGTTTTATTACTTACGAGAGCTGAAAATGTATTGAAATGTTGTGATATAAATTGATTTGTGTGTGGTACACATTTATCAATCATCAGTGATCAATATTTTCCTTATTTTTTGTGTAATATTCCTTAATTAATTATTTATTTGCGTGATAGGCCGAATGAAAGGACTAGACCCACATTACATACCGTAACCCTATATTGTCACCTCTTCCTCTTAGGATTTTACCATCACAGAGATTGACAGTAGTTCGATAGTATATTATTATAACAAACAAAGTGGCAGACGGAGCCAGGCATGGACAATCATTTGCATTGATTTCGTGAATTCATTTGGCTCTAACTTTTTTCTTGAACAGCATTCCGCAAAAAGATGTATAGAGCTTTGTAGGTTTTGTTATTAGCTACAACTTTTGTCAACAAGTCAAATTCGTATCTCTTATGCATGACGAACCAGAGTGAACAGAAGCCACTACTGTTTTTCAGTGAATGTATTTTACATTCACTGAAAAACAGTAACAAGTTCTGCCCGCTCTAGTTCATGATGCATAAGAGATACAGATTTGAGTTATGAGCAAAAGTTGTAGCCAATAGCAAAACCTACAAAAGTTCTATACATCATTTTGCGGAATGCTGTTGATGAAAAAAGTTAGAGGCAAATGAATGTAAATGAATGTATGAAATGAATGCAAATGATTTTCCATGCCTGGACGGAGCAGCTCGAAAACTTTGGTGACTAACCTGCTATAGCAATTTTTCAGTGTACCACATGGCAACACTACTACTGGATTGTACCACATGACAACACTAAATGTATACTAGAATGTTTTGGTTATATCTCTTTCACTCTAATCAAAACTGAAATGCATTAAAAAAATGACAAAATGATACACTCTTTGCGCACTGTCAAAGATTGTTGCACACAAAATCAACTTAGTTCAAATCAAAGCAGAAATACTAGCCCATCTGGTGGCTGATGGCACAAGCTGCTAAGAAAATTCTATTACAGCAACCACATTATTTTAATTGATTTGTTCGCCTGTTCGTCGTCTGTCACTTCGTTTGTGATTATTATAATGCTGATTAGACGAATCCTGCCCTAATAAAAATAACCATAAAAGAGAGCTGAACGACGTGTTCGGGGTATCATCCAAACCATTTGTGGGATAGTTTACCCATCCGGGATACAGATCGTTCATTAGGGTGGTAAAGCATCATCCTCGTCGTTAGTGAAACCTCTGAAATCCGGGATGTTCAGTTGAACATCGCTACTTGAATCACTGAGAGTATCTTCCGAGTCTTCGTATTCTGATTCCATCAGTTCAGTGAACAATCTTGCCGTGGCTGTTTTAAACTCGCTTCAGTTATTAGCCACCTCTTGTCAATAATCCGCCGATCGACCACTTCCTTCTACATCGTGCCTTGCGCTAGTTTTCCAAATTTCTTCTTCTCCGGGATCCCATACTAAAGGGCTTTTCTTATAATCTGTTATGATGGTTCTGTTTTTATGAAAATAAAATGATGTTTTATCCACAGACAAACAGACATAACACTCGCAAGTTGTTCGTCGAGCAATCATTTAACGGTCAATTTAAAAGTATCGTAGTTGGTAGTACCGCCACCTGTGGCGCGCATAGTCAATTCCCTTGACGTTTACACACTAACGCCATCTGTTCAGCGTACTGCCCACCACAGTGTACTCAACAGATGGCGGTAATGTTTTAGCGACGCCAAATTCAAAGGTAGTACCTGTGTGATGTCGCATTCCAAAAGTTCTGAACCAAATAAATAATAAAAAATACAGTTTATACTTAATTATTTAGAAAAAAAAATCATAGTTAAAACTATAATTCTATACTACACAATTATTTTATTTTGGCTAGCAGTTAAATTCCAACAAACTTTTGATGCGCTACATCACAACTGGCATCACTAGAGTGTATCTTTCCAAATGTAAAGATACAGACAAGCCCTGAGACCGGGTTGCAGTTAAGCAATCCTCAAGGTTATGCCAATGCCCAGGGTACAAGTTGTACCTACTAAGAGTTGGTCTATTTTTCTTTGGACACATTTCGGATGACAGCAGATCACTATTTAAAACATTATAAATTTACTTTATTGGAAACCACTTGTACTTAGGATACCTAGAATCCTTACGTAAGTATTATAAATTGCTTTTTTAGATTGTATAATAATCGCTCGTTCTTAGCTACAGTGGAAAAATAATATTAAATGCTTGCTATGTTCTAATGGATGGAATTTGTTTTCTTAATACATTCATTTGTTTGAACGAAAATCATCACTAAGTGGCAGCCCAATAGGTATTATTAGTTGAAAATTATGCGCACTTATTTTGAGCACATTACTTGTTTGTATTCCTGCGCGCATCAATGAATCAAACGATGGTGGTCTCTTTCTCTCCCTATCTCTTTAAATTATGTGTTCAACCATATGTTAGAAAGGGACATTCTACCAATCAAAATCTGTTGATTTATATTTTAGTCCATAAGAGATTCCGTTCTTACCGCCGACAAAGGCTGATATTAACTAATTTGTATTCCAAGTTAAATCCTAAAAATGGTGATTTTCTTCTCTCACACCTTTATAGTACACATCAGATCTTATCGTATTAGATTTATGTTTCTGTTTTGCAGCATAGCTGCTCTCATCTGCTTCAAAAAACGGTCGAAATTTTTGGAATGTTAAACAAACGCTGCAACCGTCACCTAGCGAATTGCGTGTGTAGAATTGGCTTGTACAATAATATGTTGCACGGGCACAAAAAAACAAAATTATTCAAAGTTATCGCTCGAGCGAGTAACCCACAATCTAACAATGCCACTCGACACCGAAGAATGTTCCTGATGAAAAAAATTGTAACCACCAATCTAAATCGACAACCCCATGTTCATTTTCTTCGGAAACATATTCCCCTAAAGCATCAATTAAAAGGATTTTGAATCTACATTTTACGTTTGTTCGAAAATACAAATTTTCTTAGACCAGGGGCCTCATTGGGGAAGTTGAAACGAAGCGTTTTTCGTATGAACGCTTGTATGAAAAAGTCGTTTCGTCTTGGTTCGTCGCCCCAGAATTTAATTACAAAAAATCTGGATTTGAAAAGTAAAAAAAAAAATCAAGACATTGAATTGTTTTCACGCTTGGGTTATAGAAACGCAGTTTATGAATAAATAGTAAGCTGCATTTAGGCATAGGGCATATTTAACAAATATTTTCGTAAAAATGTTCGTTGCGTGGAACATCAAATCCAATTTACCAAGACCGGAATCTTAGAAAAGATAACCCGGCTATCTACTAAGAATTGTGCTGCGTTTTCAATTATTCTGATTAAGTAAGAGTTGTACGACTCTTCGAAACTAGAGTTATGTTTGTGGAAATAAATGCACTGAAATTGTAAAATATTTCTACAAAGCTAGTTATTAATGTTCGACCTTAAATGAAAATACTACCTACTACAGAACGAAATTTGTGTTTTGTAAATACCTACATGGACATCTTATTTATCGTCTTTGTTTTGATTTGATTTGTGATTGAATTAATCAATAGTAGCAATTAAAAACTTTGTACATGACAAAGGCTACTGCCAATTTCCCCAACGTTCCGGCTTTTATCATCTTTGCATCATTGTATGGAGTTTGAGTTATACCTGAAAGTCACAAAAGTAAAGATCACTCATTAATACACCTAAATCCAAAGCTTCGTGAGCTCACAAACGCCGAAAACTGATATTGTGGCGTATCGGATGCAATCTTGAATTTCAGAATACATATTCCAAGTATCAAGTACACGCACATTCTACATACCCATCTGAAATTTGATAGGTGGGCTTGACATTCTTCCATCTCCTCCATTACTGAATGCTAGAACTCGAAGGTTGTACGATTTTCCTAAAAGTTTTAGAAATAACATTGATTGGACAATAGCTTATAAAAAAGATCACATTTTGTTCAATATTCCGGATGAATCCCTTAGGTAGTTTTGCATTTTAAACCTACCTGGTGTTAAATTGTCGATGATTTTTTCGAGTTTATTGCCTATCGCAACCACAGTGTCGTCTGCAGTGGCCATATCCTGATCAGTTTCCCAGATTCTTATCTTGTAACCTTGAACCGGTTCTTCATCCTGGGAAGGAGCAATGTATCGCCAAACGACGCGAATGGTGGAAGGATTGATACCGAATATGTTTACCGATGACGGTGGTTTTTGCGGAGCATTTCGGTACGTTCTTTCGAGATATCGTTCGCTTTCTGGTCCTTCTCCGGCAGCGTTGTAGGCCATTACTTTCACGAAGTAATACGTGTCCGGTTCAAGACCCACAACCAAAGCCCATGGTCGAGTAGTTCGGGACAAGAAGTACACAGCGTCCTCCTCTTTGTGTTCCTTTTTCCAGTATTTCAGCTGAAAGAAATGCATTTTGACATATTCATGAATTTAACATATCCGAATTGACGGTAAATTTCAGCGGACTGTATGAAAACTTATTAGTTTCAGTAGAAAAGCAAAACGCGTCTTGGTCTTTTTAGCGTTGCCACAAAATATGTCATATTTACAGGGTTGTTACGAGAAACTAAAAATAAAATCCAAAAACACGTCAAATCCAAACGAGTGATTCAGAATTTTTTGAACTTCCACAAAGTACTACTTGAAATTCTTTATATTTGTATGAGGTTTTGTTTTATGTTGTTTTTTCTTCTGAGGATCCTCAAATTTTGTTTAGGTTCTCTAAACATCTCTGCAGTACCCTGATCTGTTATCGACTTTTTCTGAGGTTCCCTAATCTTAATAAACGTTTCGAAAGCATTATGATCATGATTTTTATCAAAAATCAAAAATTTTATATTTTTAAAATGTTTATACAGTGCTGTTCGATATAAGCAGCGCATGCCGATTTTCATAAAAAATGGTCAACTTTGACATGGTTTAACTATATTGTCTTATATTGAGCTGATATCTTAGTCATAGAACTACAAATATATTAAATTTTACGGTACGTTTGTTTGTAATCATACGATTACAAAATACCAAATTTTTTAAGCACCTGTCGGAGTGTGAGATACTATGTAAAATTGTTCGAAATAATAGCAGTTTTAATAATTTGCATTTCAGCTCAATTTTGATATTTTAAATTTTACATTTCTCAATATTCAAACAATCCCCACTCAATTAACAAATAATGTACATAATAGTTAAACATGTTTAAAATATATGCAGTACATAAATTTTCAAATCAAAAACTGCTATTAATTTTTTTGTGGTGATCACAGTTCCAATTACGAACTCACGTTTCCACTATGTCGCACCACAAAAATACATATGGCTATGTCACAATAGAAGCACAAATCAAAATGAAGCACATATAAGATTAGTTACAATACCATGTACAAAAATGGTGTTTAACATTGTTCCAAGCTTGTCACGCAAATAGAAGGAGCACTGTTGGGCACTTTCTGAAATATTTCAATGGTATAATTCCCTTGCAAACCCAAATAAATCTATCTGCGTAAAAATAAATAAAATAAGAGTGATTTGCGGCAAAACCCGGCAGTATCACACCCAACGTCAGTGCCAGGAGTAACAAGTGTGATACTATCACTGCTAGACTAGATCTTTGGATTTCTCATGCAGTGGTTTATCAGAGAGGGGAAGCTTAGTAATCCCCATTGCCTGCCCATGACGCCATTCTATCGCGGCATGAGCCAGCAACGCCGGACATAAACCTACCGTCTCCAACATTCCACTATAAAGCATGAAATTAAGCCCACCCACCAACAGCAAGGTGCAAAAACTAGCCAAGGGGAGGGAAATCAAAAACTGCTATTAATTTCGAACAATTTTACCTAGTATCTCACTTTCCGGGAGGTGCTTCCAAAAATTTGGTATTTTGTAATCGTATGATTGAACATATTTGTAGTTCTGTAGCGAACGCTTCAGCTCAATTGATCTTAAGAGAACAAATATACAACATGTCAAATTTGTCAATTTTGTACGAAAATCTGTATGCGCTGCTATTATATCGAACAGCACTGAACATAAGGATGGGCCTCAGATAACCTAGTTAATAAATGCATTGTATTACCCGGCCTAAGTTGACGGGTTCGTTTCCTGGTCCGGTCTAGAGATTTTTTTCGGGTGCAACAACAAAAAATGCATGCATTGGTTGGCATAGAAAACTCTCAATTAATAAATGTGGAAAGACCTGAGTGTATCTTATAGAATAAATCATAAATCAGTTCTTACCCTGTGGCCAATGAGTTTTCCTCGAATGGAATCCCTTGTTTGTGAAATTGGGACCCAAGAGACATTGAGCGCTGTAGAATTGTAACTCTTGGCAATAGTCTGCTGTGGAGCTACTTGCGGCATATCTTCGGCTGAATATATGGTGGCAATTTCACTAATAGGTCCCTCTCCTAGATCGTTGATGGCTTGCACCTTCACTTCATATTTGGTGTAGTATTTGTCGAATGGAATGTGTACTACTGCTCGTCCGATATTACCTTGCCGTTTCAGGACTTCCGAGGCCCACTCCAGTTGACCAGGTAGACGGAAAAAGACCTTATAGTGAATATCGATGCTGTTTTGTTCTTCTGGGAGCAACGGATCCCAAGTAATGGTAAGGTCACCTATCTTGCCACCTCCTCCTCCGACGTTTCGTGGAACAATGTATGGTTTATCTTTCTGTGTATTATAAAGGGGAGATGGCAAGCTTGGAATACCAATGCCCAAATCGTTCACTGCCACAACGCTAAACTCGTATCCACATCCCGGCGTTAGGTTGGTTACGGCTGCACGACGTCTTCCGTTGTAGCGATCGATTTCTTGGGCAAAAACGTTTTCCGAAACATTCGCCCATGTTTTGTTCCAAGTTGTGCGTCCCAGGATGTTGTAGAATAGAATCGGTCTACCATTGTCGCTTCCATCGATCCATTCTAATGCTGCATCGGTTTTCTTAATGTCAATTACTTTTACCGCTCCAGGAGCTCCCGGAGGACCCTGTATGAAGACCATAGTTTTTGATACTATCCTATTGACTGCGGACTTGGCAATACATTCATATTCCCCTGCATCCAACAGAGTTAGATTATGCACTTCCAAGCTATTGTAATTCGCTGTAAATCTAGTATTGTATGACGGCATATTGTCGTAGCTGTTTATGATGCGACCATTGTGGGCCCAGAGGAATGCAACATCCAGTACTTCATCGTAAGTAACTTCGCATCGTAGGTACAATAGTTCATCAATTTGCTTAATAATTTTTGGAGGTAGTTGTTCAACGAATCGTAGCTCCTGGAGAACAATCAGACGTGCTTTCGATTCAGCAACACCCTGAGAATTACTGGCAACACAAGTGTAAACTCCTTCATCGTCTCGCGACGTCGGTGAAATAAATAAGGTTCCAGTAGGTAGCATTCTACGATGCCCTCCCGTACCTATGACGTTGCCGTCTTTTTTCCATACGATTTTTGGTCGAGGAGCTGCTTCCGGTTCGCACTCGATTGTAGTGTTTCCATTGTAAATTGAATAGATTTCGGACTCCAGCGGTTTCTTTTTAAAGGATGGCTTCATGGACAACACACGTAATTGTGCCGATGAATACACGCCCTTGAGCTGATTTGTTGACTTGCATTGGTACATTCCATTATCCTCATCCGGGTCGAGGAAGTTTATCTTAAGGACATTGTCCTGTATCACAAATTTGTCTTTATTAAACTTGCTATTTTCGGGGTCCATTAATTCTGCATTTTTGTACCATGTGTAGTTGACATCTGGAATGGCGGAAGCCTCGCACAGGAATATCACTGAGCTCTGAAAATCCTTAATTTTATCCTTCAACGGGATTGTGAAGTTTGGTTGCATTTGAACACTGACCATAACACTCTTCGCTATAGATTTTCGATCGTTTTTAATCGTACATATATATTCGCCGTTGTCGTTGGCAGTAGAATTCTTGATCACCAACACTCTGTTATAGTTTTCGAGGTAGGAGAATCGAGGTAGATTTCCGTTTCTGCGTGTCCAATTATACGAAGGCACCGGGTAACCAAAGGCCATACATTCTAATCTCAAATCCTTCCCTGCCACTGGAGCTTCTGGGAACTTCTTTGGGAAATTATTGGCAAAAATCAAATCCTGATAATGCGGATGCGAAACTACTTGCAAATTGAAAAATGGTCCATTCCTTCCCGTATCGCTCACAGTGCTCTGCACATTGCAGGAATAATTCGCGCGGTCTTTGATTTCCAATGATGAGAAATATAACGAGCCATCATGGCTTACAAAAACTCGCTGATCCTCTTCAACAAAGTTTGGGAAAAAATCCCGGGACCAGTAGTACCGCACATCCGGATAATGCTGAGGAGGATCACAGTAGAGTGATTTGCCCCAGTTCATTTCTCCAGTTTCGGACGATCGTTGCAAATTGAACTCAAGGATGTAGCCAAAGTTTAGTTCCACGCTTTCCGATATGATCCGTCCGAATGGATTGTTAGCGACGCAATGGTAGGTGCCTGTAATAAAAGAAAACAAGCAAAATAAATAATGGGTCGTATATAATACAATGTAATACACGCAGCCATTGTTGACTCAGATCTTACCAGACCATTACCTAAAATCCATTGACGATTTTTAAAAGTTGTTGATTTTCCTACTTATATTAGGGGTATTCACAAAGCGCAACGTAAACGCGTAAACACCCTCGTAAATGCGTAAACTTCCATTAAACTCCAATGGACCCTGGTATTGTTAGGATAGTGTATGTTTACGATGCGCACAGTGAATACTGTTATAAAGGGTGATACGGTCAAAATTTGGTCAATATCAACTTGACGTATTTCTTTCAATTTTGCATTTAAAAAACCTGAACACCCCTCATTTTGAAGGTGTGTGTGTGTAGAATGTTGCTCCTATTTTGATTTTGGAATTCACTCTTCAGTTGTCAAAATGCCGTCCAAGCAAGAAGAGCAGCGTATCAAAATTTTGCTCGCGCATCGCGAAAATCCGAGCTACTCGCACGCAAAGTTGGCAAAATCGCTAAAAGTTGCCAAATCAACCGTTACAAATGTAATTAAAGTGTTTGGGGAACGTTTGTCGACAGCCAGGAAGTCTGGATCGGGGGGAAATCGAAAACCGGAAGCCGCTGAGACGACAAAGAGAGTTGCCGGTAGTTTCAAGCGAAACCCTAACCTCTCTCTCCGAGATGCCGCAAATAAGCTGGGTGTATCGTCTACAACCGTGCATCGAGCCAAAAAACGAGCCGGACTATCGACTTACAAGAAGGTAGTGACTCCAAATCGCGATGATAAACAAAATACGACGGCCAAAGCGCGATCCCGGAGGCTGTACACGACGATGCTGACGAAGTTTGACTGCGTGGTAATGGACGACGAAACCTACGTCAAAGCCGACTACAAGCAGCTTCCGGGACAGGAGTTTTATACGGCAAAAGGAAGGGGAAAGGTAGCAGATGTTTTCAAGCACATGAAACTGTCAAAGTTCGCAAAGAAATATCTGGTTTGGCAAGCCATCTGTACCTGTGGCTTGAAAAGCAGCATTTTCATAGCTTCCGGGACTGTCAACCAAGACATTTACGTGAAAGAGTGTTTGAATAAACGTCTGCTGCCTTTCCTGAAGAAACACGGTTGTTCCGTACTGTTTTGGCCGGATTTGGCATCTTGCCATTACGGTAAAAAGGCCATGGAGTGGTACGCCGCCAACAACGTGCAGGTGGTTCCCAAGGACAAGAACCCTCCCAACACGCCAGAGCTCCGCCCAATTGAGAAATACTGGGCTATTGTCAAGCGGAACCTAAAGAAGACCAAAAAAACTGCTAAGGGCGAGCAGCAGTTCAAGGCAAACTGGCTTTCTGCGGCGAAGAAGGTGGACAAGGTGGCTGTACAAAATCTGATGGCAGGGGTCAAGCGTAAGGCCCGGCAATTCGGATTTGGAAAAGCGGAAGCCTAACTGAATATTTTTCCTGAATTTTATACTAATTGAACTTGAAAAAGAAATTTAATTTGATTTTTTAAATAAACGATTTCACCGATTTACACGCGTTTTCCCTTGACCAAATTTTGACCGTATCACCCTTTATATATTCAGCTATTTAGTATTCCCATCTTAATTAAATATTCGAAGATGAAATATTTCCTTCTTTTTTTTAAATTTACGAAGATTAATCTCTATTAAATGTTTTAAGAAGCGAATATTCAATTTTTTTTAATTAGTTTATTTGTTAGGCTCGAATGTCCAAAAGGACTCCACGGAGCCGAGAACCATTGAATTATTTTATAATTACAATAAGATATTAATGAGGGACACTGTTTATGAGTTCTTCTTACTCTTCCTTGGAGGCGACTTGAGTTTAGCTTCCGCTTTCATGTGTGTCCTCAACACCTTTGCCTTTTCAATTGTTTTTCCTTTAGCAGTACCTGCCGCTTGGCCTCGTCTTCGTCCTTTATTCGCTCCTTCTCACTCCACTATCCCGAATTTGTAGTAGTAATACGCATCATTTTTTCACTTGCAAACAGGCGGCTACGATTTCACAAATTTCGCAATTTCTTCCATTAGTAGTGTGGGAAGGTGAATCTGATCGTCTGCTTTATTTCCTTTATTAATATCGTATTTTTGTCTCCACTAGTTATTTGCTTCTAACGGGGTAACAGCAAAAACGAACCAACTTCAAACAATGAGCAAGCATCGCAACAATGAGTTGCTATTGAGAAACAGACTATAGCGAGACTAGTACCGAAAAAAAAACACAGCTGCTTGTGTCGACAGCTTAGATCGAACTGGAATATTCCCTTCTTTATTAATATTGGAAGAAAGGATTATTTCCTTCTTTATTATATATAAAGGTGATACGATGCAGCGCAATCGCACGCAATAAACTTTAACTACGACGCAGGCAACTGCTGTAATAAAATTACATCTATGAATTTAATTTGCTTTAATTACAATAATTAAACAGTCGAAATTTCGTAATTAAAATACATTAATTACATTTTCAATACCTGTTATAGGTATACTTTGAATCAGTGTTGGGAAAATATCAAAACATCAAATCTCAGCAAAGAACAAGATCACGTTTGATTTTCGTAGACAAAAATCAACATATCGCAGCTCGGAATATCAAGCTAACAAAACTAACTGGCTGCAAATCTCACCAAAATGCAGTGCGATTGAGTTTCACGATTTTTACTTTGCAACCAAATGCAACAACCATAATGGCTGGCACTAGTTGCTTCTATAGTCGCTATATTCATGGTCTGGCGGATAGAATCTCGGGAACCAATTGAGCTATCAAATAGCGGAACCAATCGAGCAAATCACGACCAACAACAGAAAAGAGTACATCAGCTATTGCGAACAAAACTTCGGAAACACTTTTCTCGTGACCCAAGACTCGCCTACGCAAACTAACACCATCTTTGGGTTGGGGAAAGTTGTCCATATCCGTTGGTGCTGGTAATTGGCGAGGAAAGAATAATCAACGTTTTGTTTATAAAAGTTGATAGTACCTTTTCAATTGTTGGTCTACAATATATTGAATTGGTTCCGCTTTTTGATTGATCGAAATTCTATCCGCCAGACTATTAATATAGCGACTATAGTTGCTTCGTGTCTGCCATCAGTGAAGAGAAAAAAGAGATAGCATTATTATACCTAAACGAGGTGCAACCAACAATCAATACGAAACTAACGATTTTAAATTGGCTCACCACTTTAGTAGCCTATTGGTCCCAAGCAAACGATTAACGTACCCTATTCTAGTTGAAATTCTATTACTACACTATGTTTGTTTTGATTCGCTATGAAAGTTTGACAGATAACATCAGGGGTGTGTGGATTCATGCAGAACATGCAGGGGTGAGTGAAATAGCTTGGGACTGCTTGGGACCGTTGTTCTGGTACTGAGTGAGCCAAAAATAACAATGATTTTCTTCGGGACCCAGTGGTCTTAGAGTTACCTCTATGGTGCAACGGAATCACTTTTGTGTCGATTCAACTCTCAGCTTAAATTTCACACGTCGTGAATATCCTCGAAATATAGAGTTCTCTACCACCGTTAGTATTAGTGAGAAGTTTCACTAATACATGCATTTTACTGGTTGAAAATAAAAAAACAAACCGCTGTCAAGTCGAACACTTTGACAGCTGATTTTGTGGTTGAAAATAATAAACAAATCGATTTTACACGACTAAGCTCACTAGGTTGTATTAGTGAGATCTTACGTCGAGAAGTCAATTAAAGGAGCTTGTACAATCAATATCATGCGTGATATTGAGAGTTTTATTTTCCTCTGTTCGGGACATCAATCCACTGCGACTAGCATACGGCGAAAAAAAAAGATCATGAAGAAACCTTCAGTACCTACTATCTTTATATTTGTCGAACTTCTTAACGGAATCCCTTTATGAAGAGCTGAGTGTGTTGGTTTATTTCCTTTTAATTCCGTTATAATTACTTTGGACAGATACGCGTATTTTGTCTACTACTTGCAGACTTCATCAGTATCGTACTCACAGAAAAATCCATCTTTTATCTACGATTCATGCCGGCGCCGGTGGTGTCTTGGTAAGCGTCACTGCTTTCTCATCCCAATGAGTCTGGGTTCAATCCCAGCCGAGGTCGGTGGGATTTTTCTGAGGCATACAAAATCTCTGGTCACGTCTTCGGAAGGGAAGTAAAGCCGTTGGTCCCGGCCCATGTGTGTTTGAATGGGTGCGATATTCCTACGCAGGTGTGGAAGCTGCCTTCCTGCACATTCGATTACCGTCAATGGATGGCAATCGATGACCGTCGGTGATTAGTACTAGATTGCGGAACAGAGACCAATGTTAAATAAAGGAAATAAGAAGAAGAAGAAGAAGAATCTACAATTTATATACACTTAAAAAATAAATCACATTTCCGATGGAAAATATCCATTAGAATTTCACATAACTTTCATGTGATATCATAATTGGGAATCGCACCACGTAAACACATGAACCTTATGTGTCCAATGAAGTTTATGTGATTTATCACATAGAATTCATGTGATCATGTGAATGTTATGTGAATTTCAGTTAAAAATCATTAAATTTGTTATTGGACAAATATCATGTGGTTAGCGGCGCCGGTGGTGTAGTGGTAAGCGCGATTACTTCTCACTCCAGCAGGCCTGGGTTCAATCCCATTCGGCGCCGCCGGGATGTTCTGAGGCATAACATCTCTGATCTCATGCCTTCCTTCGGAAGGGAAGTAAAGTCGTTGGTCCCCGGTTCATGAGTTGATGGGTCGATATGTAGGGTCCAAGTGTGGGAGCTCCTGGCGTCGGTAGCATTGGTGCTCAGCACGGAAAACAAGATCGACGGAAAAAAAAATCAGCAAGTCTCCACTGCCATGTCCATTTACCTAACCAGTGTTATGTTCAGTAGAATCGTCCAAACCCCTCGAACATGCATGACAGATGGACGATAATCGAGAAAACGATATAAAATGTAATTGTAGGCTGAAGTGGAATTA